TCTTGAAGATTTGCACTGACTGATGAGAGCAGCTCTGTCAAATGATCAGAGCAAATGTAATGATGTGAATAAAGTATATGCAGTGACCAAATAATGGCCATTCATATGTTTTTAATGCAATGACATTTAAACATAATTACTGCTAGTTTGTTAAGCAAATACTTCTCATGTACCTTTGACAAAAAAAAGAATTTTCTTTCTAACTTAGACCTTGTAAAGAGAGTGTTATTTGTCCTTTGCAAACATACTCATTTATTAAATGGGGACAAGAGTTTTTAATGTGTGCCTGGCGGAATGAGGGTGACCACTTGAGTGTGTGTGTAGTGTGTAGTACATGGGTTTTGCGTCAGCGGGTGGTGGGTAATGTTTGCTCGTCTATTTTCTAACACTGTAATGGATACTGGGACATTTGCCAGACTTAGAGCAGAGCTGCTCACTTATCACCTCAAAGAGAGAGAGACCAAAACAGAGAGGTGGAATTGCTGGCTTCACATGAAGACGAGAATAAAGAGCATTAGACTATATAATGGGGAAAAAAACACAGAAAGAAAGGTTTTAATTACATTTTGGGCTGCATAAAACCAGAACCCCATCTCTAATCTTTGAACTCTTCTAATCTTCACTTCTTTGTTCCATGGACACATTTCTGTCACCGACTGGCGGCTTTGAACTTCATCCAGAGCAAACACTGATAACACGGCTCCTAATGTATCAAGTGCTGCTCTCAAATGCACATGACATCTCCTCCACTATATCTGACAGAGCCACAGACTGACTGACTGACTGAGACCAAACATTTCAACTTTTTTAATCAACAACATCTGTCTCTCACACTGTCAATCACTGTCCTGCTTTGTCTAACAAAAGCACCCACAGAAGCTCACAGTAGAATTGTTTTTTGGATTCGCTCCAACAATGGCCGCTGAGGAATGTCCACATATGGACATGTATTGCAGTCACTAGAAGTTTCTGAATAACCTCGTCTCAACCCTGGGACATAATGTATAAGACTGTGTGTATGTGTGTATTCACTCAGGCCTTCTGGTTGTCTGCCCTCAGTCAAATGCATTACTTATTTTTCCCATGTAACAGTGCATGTGTGTGAGTGCAGCTATAATCCTTTCCTGTTTATTTTTGCATAAACATTTGTGTTTTAATAAAACCATATTAATATACAATCCTGCCCACTCATTTATCAAGAATCACATGTAAGCACAAGATTTTGATTCTTATTTAATACTGGGAAAAAAAATGCAAGTTTCTTACATGCATTTTCACTTTATCAAATCACTGTCAGACTGTGCAGACTGTGGTTTCAGTACAAAGTCACAGTGGAAGTCATTCACCTTAATGTTGAAGTATGATACCTTTATACAGTAAATAAAGCATTGTTCATTTAGACAGTGCTCTACTTTATTACTGACATCTGTTTTCTTTCAAAAACTTCTCATTAGTTCTCCCTAATGGAAAAGGACAGTGAGTGTTACCACATCTGTTTATATCTTTGCAGACACACATGCACACACACTCGCATGTAGGCGTACATGCACACACTAATACTAACACATAACATACATCTTAATAATGGGTTTTCAGGACTGTAATGGATTGTAATGACTGCTGAGTGCTGTGTTTTTCACAGGATGTAAAGGCTGCTCTACTTTAAAAGGTTTTCTGCAGGAGAATGCCATTTCTTGTTTTCAAAAAATGACAAAATGTTGCAGCTGTGTTTGTGGTCTTGAGGACAATGCTTTGAGGGATCATCCTGGGACAGGTCGATCTTTGTGTAATACCCAACAGTTAGTGGACGTAACAGATATGAAATATTAAGTGATTAACTTGAACGAGATCCTTAATCGCTTTCTCTACCCTTCTCCTCTCTTCCAGCACAAAAACGATGCAGATGAGCCGGATAGGCTTCATCCTGCCCCATCAAGACCTGCCATTACTCAGTAAGTGGTCTGATGAAAAGAGCCCAATTTGGGTATTGAGATGAAAGGCAGGCAGAGAAGAAGTTGGAACAGGGGCTCTTTACCAGTCACGATCTGAGCTCGGAGATGAGTAATGAGGTTATTTACTTCTCAGCTGGGACTCGCTTTCTGATTTGCGACATTCTCCAAATACCAAGTGTTCAATCTGTGAGCTTTTTTCTTACCAGCCAGATGTGTCTTTTTTAGAAATAAACATAAGGAAAATCTGCTCTTTTTCAAGCCAATTATTAACTAAAGTAATCAAATGTTTTGTCAGGAATGCACAGACGTGTTTGAATTTGTTTACGCAATCAGTACACTGATTAGTTATGCACCTCTTACATCCAATATTGTTATAAGCTCTGAATCATTAGCAGGGTAAGAAATTAACTTTTTTAATGCTGTTGCTGCAGACTAATTGCACATACAGGAAATAATTTGTAATTCATTCACATCATTAAAACTCCATCACAGCTTGTCTGCCACTTAATGTTGGTAGGAGTCATGGTAGTGTCTTAAGATGACTCACTGAACCAAACCGCTTGCCTCGTCTCTGCAAGGCTGCTGACATGTGGAGAGCGTGGTCTCAGCAGTGTTGCATGACACCATGCACTTCTAATAACATGATATTTTTGGTGGTTGGTTGAAAAGCAAAGTCAAAAGGTTTTAGAAGTATTCTACATTTTAAAAAGCAAGGAATTGAATATGATTTCCTTAAGTAAGACTGCTAATAGGTACATTAATCTATTCATTAACTTGTGAAGACTCTGATACTGAAGAGGCCTACAGATGTCGAAAGTAACTTTTCCCCCTGCACTCAGCACCCGTCAGAGCAACATAATGCAATTAGACATCTGAAGCCTTCATTTATCCTTATACAATTCAATTGAGCAAAAATACTTGGCTCACTCACTTCCTTTGCGTGTGCAAACAAATCTATAATTGTCTGTATTTCTCTGAACGTGTGTCTGGGTCTGTCTTTGTGTTTGTCCTTGACAGAGACACCCAAAGAGAGAGGGGAAGCGGTGTGGGATGGTGTGTTGCCTGGTAACCGGTGTGTGTCCTGACCAGTGGAGGGACGCTGCGGAATCTTGACGAAGCGTGAAAGAGGAACACGGCACGTGACAGACGTGAGGGCACACAGGGGGGGGGGGGGGCAGACACATGAAATATGTATAGATACTAACAGCATGCATTGCTAACGAGTTCAGGTCACATGGGATGATGGATTGCATTCAAAGTCAGAGTTGTCCTGCACCTCTGTTATGACTGCATTACAGCTGTACCGTATACAATGCTTCGACTTGCAATAAACATTTCGACATTATTGTAGAAAAACACAAACTCTCACAGGTCCAGCATCAACCTGTTATATCTTAAAGCGCCATTTTCTACTAGCATCTAAGCAGTGAACTTAATGGCTGCCTATGTCCCCCTGACCCAGTCATGACACTAAACCACATCCCCTCTCTCCCCTGTGGGCGGCTTCAGCTGATACCCGCATTGCACTTGACTTCTTTGTTCTCTTCGGTTAACCCTCCCAGTTTGATCTCTATAAGTCATAATGTGCAACAATTTTTATTAAATAGAAGCTGCTATTCATAATAGAGACTCAACATTGTTCATTAAAGGCTTTCTTGTTTTAAATATCAAATGTTAACTTATTGAAGTGTCAGCTAATTTTTTACTGATTTCAGCAGCAGGCAAAGCAAAATAAGGAACATAAGGTGAATCACATTAGTTATGAACATATAAAATAAATAGCACTAACTAGAACAATTCATGATTCATCAACACAAAGGTCTTCCAATACGGATGTCACAGTACTGGGAGATTTTTTTCAGTCATCTCCCTGGAGTGCAAAGCAGGAAAACCATCACAAAAAATATTTTCAGGGATCCTTTGAATTACTTCTTTAAATAGACGACAGTACAATTAGATGACATTCCTTGGAAGTTAATTATATTCCATTTTCATCAGATGTCCCCATTATTCCAATAGATAGGGAATATTATTACTATATTCAGTCTGTGAGCCATCCAGAGAGGTCCTATCATTATGAACATTCATATCTGTTCATTTGCAATACTGATCTATCCATTGTGCTTACATACAAGGAAATGAGCAAGGACAATGTAAGAATCAGCTCTTCTTCACATTTTGGGTCAGAATATGTTCTTTCTTGCTATCTTTCTTTCTTTTTTGTTCACATCTAGTATAATTATCTATCTGTTTTATATATCTTTTAATATGGAAATTCACACTGTGTTGGTTTGAGAATATGAAACTGGACAGATGAAGCTCAAATGTAGAACTTCAAAGTATGTCATACAGCAGCAACAAGTATAAGATCACACACACACACACACACACACACACACACACACACACACACACACACACCACACACACACACACACACACACACACACACACACACACACACACACACACACTCACACACCGCACATAGCATAATCTAACTTCCTCATTTGAAGTACTGATTAAATGACCCCTTTGTATATTTGTCATTGTGCATAGTTCTCATGCTCAAACCAGGATTGCCTCAGTTTAACTCTCAACATCCACTTGCATTCAAATGTAATCTATAACAAAATGACAAAGGAAACTGCAACTGAGCTGACAAACATTCAGAGCACGACAGACGTTGGATGCCACTAACCACACACAATCTGCTTCTCTATTTTCATCTCGTTCATTCTTTATTTTATTTTGAACTTCCTTTTCAGTTTTTGCATGAACATTAACACTGAGAAACATGAAGGTCAAGTGATAGAATTAAACATCATTTATTTCAGTGTGCTGGTAATTAAGTGAAGGGTTTCTCAAATATTTGATACATTTAGTGCATTCATTATTCTTGTTTGACATCTAAAATGCAAACCAGCAAATCAATGCAGACTTACACCACACACTTGCACATGCGTTGTTTTCACACACAAGTCCTTCACATTTGATGAAATATAAAACAATGTTCAACAATAATAAAGTAGGAATTGATCAACTCACCTGCAAGCTGCTTTTCTGTTTCTGAGAAGACTGCCCTCGCTACTGTGCTCTGCTCCCTGAGAGACGAGAGAGCCACAGTCTCGCTAGTCAAGTCTGTGCGTAATAAGTGTGTGTGGGAAATAGAGGAGGGAGAGAAGCGAGGGAGCACCAGAGACTCACACACTCTCTCTTTCTCTTTCACTCTCTCTGCGGCTCCATCTATTATTGTTCTTTATCTCTTTAGGGTAATTTGCTTTTGAAATCTTTTTAATAGCTCTTCTATTCTCTTATCATGCCTTCGAACATGCGTGCCAGTTGATGTGATAAAGCAAATGCAAACTGGAGACCTGGCTCTATTACCTGAATAATCCAAGCACCTGTTGAATTCAGCCTGAATGGATTGGCCAGCTTTTCAGTCCAGTTTGTAATGGGAAGAGACACGACAAGACATGGTATTCATGCATCCATTACATTAGCTTTTATCCAAAGCGACTTACAATTACCAATTACAGGGACATTCTCCCTGGAGTAACTAAGGGCTAAGTGCCTTACTCAAGGGCACACTAGTGGTGGTGTTCCAGGTGGGATTTGAACTCACAATCTTCCAATCTTCAGCCCACCTCACTATCCATTAGATCCACCACTACCCCATCTGTTTTGGGCTTTAATTCTTTATTTGTCTCAGAAAATACCACTTCTCTCTAAACTTCAAACTGTTAAATAATGTAGGGTTGCTTTAATGCTTCATTGATAGATGGCTTAAGGGCAAATCTATGAGAACTGGCACCAGTTGCAGTAGCGTGATGTCAATGACCCGATAGGTCACACATATTTCTAAATCAATCTCTTTATTTCTGGTGCAGCCTTTAACTCAGCCTTCTCAGTATCTATTTTTCATGTGCTTTGGCCCCCGGTGTGGCTTATCTATCATTTCCAATGTCTATTCATCTTCTGGGCTGCAGACTAACATTCATAATTTATTATCACATCTCTTTTCATGACTTTTATGTGATGTTTCCCACCTTTTCCTTTTCTCTCTCATCTCCGTCTGTCTATGGAACTGTCTCAGTTCCCGTGGTCTTGTTCATAGCTGGTGCTGAATCAAATCTTTCTATGTCTCTTTTTGTACCTTTTATTTATTCCTCTCTCTGTTTCTATTCCTTCATTTATAGAATGGTTGTCTCTTCTCTGGTTATATTAGCCTGTTGCATTGGTTACTTTTGTATTCCACTCACCTCAACGCTCCGCCTTTATTTCTCCTTGTGTCGCAGTAACAAGGCTCCAGTTTTGTTCCACTACACATAACTATGCGATAACATATCTTTCTTTATCATTTAAAAAAAATGTCTTCTTTGTTTTTCTCCTTCTTTGTTCGTCTACATGCCGTCTTTCTCTCACTCTTCCTTTCACACAAATCATATGACTTGTTTTGAAGGTACATACTTGTTAATGTTATAAGCTCACCTTTCTTTCACTTTGTATTCCTTAGTGTGTTGACAAGCTCTATCTCCCCCTCAGGTTTCCATAACAACACGACCTCTGATGTGTCTGAGCTGGTGGAGGATACCTGACTGACACTCCTTAATATAGGTGGATGGTGTCATAAAACAGTATGCGATGTATTTTTTTAATCAACACCATAGTTGGGTGTTGCTTTGCTTTGATGTTGTTGGGCCTCCAGACTTCCCATACAAGGCTGTGTAAGGAAATTATAAGTATATTTAAACTGATATTGTGGCAGTTGGCATTGATACCTCAAATTCCATTAGCTTTGTATACATCTTTATTAACGGGAAGTGAAGTCACATATCTAAGTCTAGGTCAACAGTGTGTTTGTAATATCCCATATCTTGATCTGATAAGATGAAGTAATACCAAGGGAATAAAATGAAAAATAACAAATGATTTAGAACTCTACCACCCTCTTTAGGATTAGCAAAATAATCACATAATTCTTCAGGAAATCAGTCATTTGTTAGCCGCAGGCAGAAGGGCGAGACAAATTCAGCCATAGAAATGAATACGCAGAGAAAAAACTCTCTTATCCAAAATATTCTTTAATTAAAACTTTTTAACGTATCAAACAAGCTGACTAAACTCTGTCAACAGAAACAAAAATTGTAATTCATATGTTCAATTTATTTTGCCAGCTGATAAACAACCGTTTATAATATAAGCTGCAACAAATGTTTTGAATGTATTTCCTTCCTCATGAATCAAATGTAGAGGAGATATTCAACTAATTTAAATCCATGTTGATTTGCTGGCCATCTTTTTCTTCCCTGTCTTATGAGTGTGCATGAGATAAACAAAACAGGGACGCACTCACAGAAAAAAAGGTCCACAAGGAATCCTTGTTTTAGGTTTTGGTTGTCTTTGGACCATCATGCTGATTTTTTGTTTAGAAATAGAGCCTTTCAATTTTACTTCTCCACTGTTAAATACAATATGATGATGTTCCTGTTATTTTCTACTTGAAGCTTTAAGATTGTATTCACAATAATACTTGAGTGGTCTATGATTTTTGAAAAGGTCCCATCTATTATGGATGCTTGTTGCCAGTTGTTATTTAAACATTTAAAGGATGATGATCAAAGATGTGGTGAGGGCACACAGTGTGAGCTGGCAGACTATTGACTGAAGTCATCCACAGTCTACTGACTTCGCACACTGTGTCCTGTCGGGTGCATATTGTGTTAAGGTTGCATTACTTAAGAATTGCAAAAAGAATATGTTTAGATACAGTTTTGACATTGTAGGTAATTTTGCATACTATACATATCACTTTTCATCCCATCTCTAACAGAAGACACTGGCTATTGATGTTTTATTTTCACTTAAAACACAGATAAAGTATTCCACTTAGTCAAAATGAACAAAATGGAGACTTCACACACTGCGCAGGCCGTGGGTCTATAGGACTCCACCTTGTTGCACTCAACCACTTCCCCTCAACGGTCTGAAGGCAGGAAGAGAGAAGAGACAGAAGAGGAAGAGACACAAAGGGGGATGGGCTTGTCGTTTTAATTTAGAGTTACAAAAATACAGAAGTGAGAAGTTTAGTAGACACCCTCCAAATACAGAGGCTGAGAGAGAAATTGGAAGCGAATCCAAAAAAAGACTTTGCAAACTAAAAAGAAGTAGTTCTAAAAGGAAGTAGGCAAAGGGCTACATGTAGTCATGGCTCCTTGGACGAGGACCACAACAGAGCGGTATGGTGTAGGTAAGTTGGTTTGTGTTAACGTTTGGGTATCTTTGTGTGTGTGCGTTCAAGCACTTACATGTTGGTACAGTGTCTATCCGTTAGGTGTAATTGTAACCAATCTATGCTATCAATAAGAATGAGAATATGCCCTTCACTTCCTGCTTAACAGGATGTGAGCAGGTGCTAGTGGACACACATAACTTTAGGATATACACATTACAAGTATATCCCCCAAAATAAAACAAATCCTAAATTCATATTCACCTTTAAACTTCAATGCAACTTAACTCGTAAGAGTTAAGACTCTGTGGGGAATAAAATCAAGAAATGCATCTCTCTTTAACTAATGCATAAATAAGTGGCAGTGAGTAGGCAATCTTCATGCATTTTACATTATGCTTTGCATTTTCTTTGGAAAATAACTATTTTAGGTTTTGGAAAGATTGATTTTTGCTTCAGGAACAAATCGTAGACAGTTAAAGCATAACGTCTCAGTACAATCTGTAGTTATCTGCAGTGTGGGTTGAATATGGTCGAGCTGATCAGCATGTGTTGCCGTTAGATATGCGATGCAGACACAAATTTAGCAGGAATACAGAGTTATGAATTCTAATACAGATTGTTATGGCAGAGCTTCACTGCCTTGTTGCACACAATGCCTTGGTTAATCAGTTGCTTGAAATAAATACGAGATTTAATTTGCATTGTATAAAAAGTAAGGGAAGTGAAGGAAGTTGTTCTACTGCTTGAAGATTGACAGAGAAGAGGGTAGTGAATTTATATAGGTAATTTTTACCTGTTACTAATAAGATTACTGATTTAAAGTGTTGTGGACCTTCTTTATAGAGAATAACATATTCCTGGACTGTATAAGACTACAACACAGGAAGTGGAGGAAGAAAGACTGAAGCTTTTGTTTTTTACTAGTTCTAAGCCGTGAATCTAAATACTGTAAAAAACGCATAATCTTATGAAATTATATAAACATATGTCTTAATTTTCCAAAAAGTATGCATTTCAATGTATTACAGTCAATAATAAAATAAATGGTGATAGCAGTCATTTTGTAGCTGCGTAACTGATGGTTAAGTGTCTAAATCATTATGAGAGGCCAAAGTGGTGCAGACAATTTGTGGTCTTGTCAGATAGTATTTTAGTAGACCTTTTTGGACATTGTCTATTTGAATGTTATGTTATCTTGATTGCTTTTGTTATTTATTGCTCATTATTTAAAACATTAAAAACATAATTTCAATGGGTTTGTTCTTGTATATGAAAGCACCTTGCATTGACTCGTGGTTGTGGTTGAGATGTTCCTTACTGTATAAATAATGCTGCCTTGCCATTTTTAATTTATTTTCTCTTAATTGACTCGACTGTAAATCCTGCAGTGACTGAAGAGGTCATGAAAAAGGGAGAGATGAAGAGCCGTTGTCAATAATAATTTAGGCGTGAATAAACATACGGCTCTGTTGCTCATTGGTTGCTTTTTTGGTGGTTTGACAGGTGATCCATGCTGCGCTTTGGCCCGGTTGACCTGAGCTAGGCTAGCCTTTTTCAACTTTTGTTCATCTAGGGCTAGGCCATATGGTATTAAGCTATGAGTAGTTTTCCTTCATTGGCATAACAAATAAAATCATTCGTTACCCTTTGTGTTTAGCACTTATCACACAGGACAACTTTAGCCGTCGACTCGTTCCCAATAACTGGTGCACTTCACCAATCGGGCTAGCTTACTTTAGCTAACATTCATAACATGATAGCAACATATTAGCCCTGCCCAGCTAGTATACATTTGTTTATGAAGTTTGTTTTGAATAATAGTGCTATTAAACAATGAACTATCATATATGCCCCTTATCAGACTGTAACCATTTCTTTTTAGTTAAGTGGAATTTTTTCGGGAAAGGAGAAAAGCAGCTTTCCCTTGAGGTAGGAGATGCGGTCCAAATCCAGGAGGTCTGTGATGGTAAGAATACATACATATATGAAATATTGTGCGGTATGCAATGCATCATAGCATAGAAAATCATATTATGCAACAAAGATTACAGTATGGCAGAAAACTGATATTGAGTTTTTCTTTCAGGATGGTACAGAGGCCACCTGGTCAGGAACAAAGTCGTGTGGGTAAGAGCTCACACACATTAACCTGTATTCACACCAGACTGTGCATCACATTGTTTTGATCAGAAAGGTGATAATAACACATTATGCATTTCCTTCAATTAGCTTTATTCAACTGAGAGATATTTGTTCTAGTTTTGTGAAAAGGAAAGGTGAGAGCTGCTCTCATTTCTGTACATATCTCGCTTATTACTTGTTCCTTTGCAGGGAGTGTTCCCTGCCAGTTTTGTCCATCTTAGGGAGGTTGTCGTTGAAAAACGAGGGTGAGTGAACTTAAGAAGTCTTCATCTGATTCCGAAAATTATGTTCTTTGAATATTTTGTCATATTTTGTGTGCTGTATGTCTGCCTACAGAGGAGAGGAGGTTGTGCTGTCTGCAGAGATGCCCTTGGTGAAAGAGGTGACCACCACTTTGAGGGAGTGGGGAAGCATATGGAAGCAGCTCTTTGTGGTAAAAAAACAACATAGAAAAACACTTCTTGTATGTGAACGTGTGTATATCTGGGAGTAACAACATATATCTACCTATCCAGGCCAACAAGCGGACGCGTGTGAAGCAGGTCCAGAGGCTGATGTGTGAGCTTATGGAGTGGCGTTCCCAGCTCCTGTCTGGCACTCTGCCTAGTGACGAATTCAAGGAGCTCAAGCAAAAAGTCACCTCGAAGATTGACTATGGCAACAAGTATGTCTGGTCCAAAACAAAATTGCTTGTTTAGATTGGTCAATGTTTGAGCCAATTTTTGTAAACCATTCTGTTGTCCTCCCTTACCTTTCCACATTTTTTGTAACAGAACTTTTCAGACTCTTCTCCCCTTATCGTTATTTCCTCCTTATCCCTCCTTCCTCCAATCCCTCACTTGTTGCCTTTTTTCAGTCCTTTGTACACTTTCCATCCATCTCCCCAATCCTAACCTGAGCGGTATCTCCTTCTTCCCACTACAGGATCCTGGAGCTGGACCAGGTGGTGAGAGACGAGGATGGGAACATCTTGGACCCCGAACGGGCAAACGTCATCAGTCTTTTTCGGGCCCACGAGGAGGCTACAGCCAAGATCAATGAGCGCATCAAAGAGGAGCAGGTAAGGACGAAAGATGAGAAGGCAGGGCAGTGGGGAGCAGATAAAACAGAACCCCATGATGAAATCACAAAAAGTTTCAAGGGACTTCTTTGATATATTGCTATCGTTTCACTGCACTATACTTCCCAGAGGTATCCATGGGATTTTCACTGGGAAACTGTTCATGGGAAAAAGCTGTCATCAACTAGATAAAGGTGGAATCACAGTTTTGTCATTTAATTTGTTTTTATGATAAGAAAGTAGTTAAATTAAACTTCATCTGCATGAAAATGGCAGATAATATATTTCACTTAGCAATCATGTCTGCGAGCCAAGCTTTTTCGATTTCAAATTGTCTTGACTTCACTGCAGCTCTGTAAAGCCTGTGCTACATTTGAACATTGATTCATTAGTAAAAGGAGAATGTATTCCATAATGACATTCTTTCTCATGATTTGATTCTCCTTTACAAACCCATAATCTTCATGCTGCATGAATGTCGCAGAATTAAGTAGTTTGCAGTAAAGGCTTTCGACAGGCATTTTGTCCCAAGTGAACCTCCTTTAACTAATGTCCTCCCCTGCAGTCCAACATCCAGACGGACCACAGCGGGATCTCCGCACGGATCCAGTCGTCCCCCACCCACAGCCTCTACGTGTTTGTCAGGAACTTTGTCTGTCGCATTGGAGAGGACTCGGAGCTCTTCATGTCCCTATACGACCCCGTCAAACAAGCCATTATCAGGTGTCACTTTTCCTTCTTTCTTGGCTTTAGTCCCTTCCCTCCTACAGTGAGCTTTAAAAAGTGTTCTTTTACATGCTGCTGTTTTTCTTTTCGCTGTTATTCTCTTTAATGTATTTTTTTAAACGCATATTTGAAGCCCCAGATTCATATGCAAATTTGAATGTCTGGGTTAAGCCTTCAAATTAAAAATGATGTTAATGTTAAAGTCTGGCAGATTTAATTCATCCCACTGCCATGCAGTTGATTCGATTTTGTCGTGTAGCTTTGTGTCACTTTGAGATAGAAAACAAGGTGCATGACTATGAATAGCTATTGTTGTTTTTTTAAACAAGATGTCTTCGTATGGCACATATTGACAGGATTTAACTTCGGAGTCTGAATTTCATGTCAATCATAAAATAATGCAGTTCAATTAATAACATTTAAAATATGGAGAATTAAGGTGAAGTAGATTTAGCCAACACTATAATCCTCTCATACCCATTCACTGACTGGATTTATTTTTACCATACATTCTTTCATTACATTACATGTCACGTGTTAGACGCTTTTATCCAAAGCGACATACATTCAATGGGCAATCCCCACAGCAGCAATTTGGGGTGAAGTGTCTTTCCCAGGGTCACAACGACATGCTGACAGCAGTGGGACTCGAACTTGCTATCCCCTGATTCAAAGCACAGCGCACTGAGCCACAGCCTCCCGCAGCTGTATATATATATATCTCTCTTTCTCTGCTTTTGTCCTTCTCTGCTCCATTTTTGAACCCCACTTAATTACAACAAAGGGATGCAAAAAGAAGAATACAAAAAACACAAATTATAGGGCAGCCGACACTGACTGGCAGTACTGTGTGGTGGCTGACAGGGTTGATGCTAAGCCCTGTCACTCACTGTCATACTGGGTATATCTAGGTCTCAGCCACTGCAGCTGCAAGTATTAAGATAGAGCATGATCGATCATGTTTTTCTCAACATATATCTTTCACTGTTAAATCTTTGCTTACTTTATTCTGGTTTCTTTTTTTCTGTCTGTGTTCTTGTTATACTTGTGTGAATACTGCTTTATGTTTTGCTTTTTATTTTTGTTCTACCAACTCCCTCAACTTTTTTTATTTGTCTGTCTCTCTCCGGCAGAAATGGTAAATATTGGATTTTATGATAGGAGACTTTTTCTCAGCTTTGATCCACCCTGCTGAACCCATGTGTCTGTCTTGATGTCTATTTTTCTTTACTGTCAGTGGCTGGTGCTCGCATGTCAGGAAAATGCTTCTGGGAATAGATGGGATGTATTTTTAGAACAGGTTTTAATTATTATTCAGCTGCACTGGGTAATATGAATGGATCCACATGCCTGTCAGGGAACATTTTAGCTTTAGCATTTCAGAATTAATATAGTTTTCCATTAGTAAACATACTATGCATATGGTAAAGCCCATGTGACAATGTACACCAGCCTGATTCGTTGGTTTGAGTAGTGGTGTTAGTAAGTGCAATGCATTCATAGATGAGTAATGACGTCTTATATGCTAATCATTTGTTGTATTAGTAATACTTCTTAGCACAGATTATTTTAAGAATCTCTAGGGCTAGTCAAGATCATCAATAAGACACTTATAATTAAAATATGTAATAATTTATAACTGTTGACATAGTACTTCAGGAAGCATTGTGTGTTTGCCAGTATAGACATGGAACATTATGAATGCATTATATTTTGCAGTGAAAGCCTGCATAACGCACTATAGATGTAGTTTTCTTAGAAATTCTTGTTGATTATATTTATTAAAATGGTAATTGTTGATACTATGTCTCGCTGTATGTTAAACTAATGTGAGTTATAGCTTTGCAGAACACTAACAACAGTTCTTGTCATGTTTTTGCAGTGAGAACTACTTAGTTCGCTGGGGCAGCAAAGGATTCCCGAAGGAGATTGACATGCTGAACAACCTGAAGGTTGTCTTTACAGTAAGTGACCACAGGAGGGCACTGTCTCACTGTTCTTTACATCAAAATACACTGTACTTAATAAGAATGAATGGGGTTATTCCTTCTAAGAAGATTGCATTGTTTTTCATTTCCTTCCTCCCCCTCTTTCCCACCTACCCTTTTCCCCCAAACTCTTCTCTCCTCTATCTATTCATCCTTGTATCGGTTATTATCACATTCATCGTGCACTTCTTACTTTGCTTTTTGTTCTCTCTGCTCTCCTGTCTCTGTTTCTCTCCACCAGGACTTGGGTAACAAGGACCTGTGCAGAGAGAAGATTTATCTGATCTGTCAGATAGTGAGAGTGGGCAGGATGGACCTAAAAGAGACTTTGAACAAGAAGTGCACCCAAGGCCTGAGGCGGCCCTTTGGGGTGGCAGGTACTATAAGATCAGCCAGTGCTGTTTAGTTTTGGTCAAAGTTGTTGCTAAATGTTTTATAATGAGTGCAATCAACCATTAAGATATAAACTCAAAACTCTGGGATGTCTTGCCGTCATTTGACGGCCTTATTCAGCTCGGAACGCCCTGAACTCGAGCCGAGGGTGTCCAAAAAAAGACGCCCTCTCAGCCCTGGTCTGGCGGAAACACTGGCTACTGCATTGGCCTCAAATAAGCCAACCCCTTTTTTAAAAGCTACATAGAGAAATAAGACGTTTTTTGCTTGTATCCTTAAACATGGAAGCTCACTAATACAACCACAGTACTTTTTAGCACTAACACAACTAAAATGCTAATGGTCATGGCCAGCCCCTCAGGCTATTATTGGTCCCACTAGCTCCAGTCTGGTCTGTTTTGACTAGTGTGTGATAACAATTTATATGCAAGATGTTCACATGTCTAACATTGTTGACACCATCAGGAACTACTCTTTATAATTGTTTTGTTTGTCATCACTGTCACACTTGTTTTTTTGTTCTTGGCAGTGATGGACATCAGTGATATCATCAAAGGGAAGATTGAATGCGATGAAGAGAAGCAGTTCTTTATCCCATTCTTCCCGTATGTTGTATTTCCCTCTTTTACTATCAAACACTCCATGTAATTCAAAGCAATATTGCATTTTTCATGTGAAGGTTTCAGCATTTGTGAGACTTTTATATTAAACAATTTCTATGGGTTTTAAAGTGTGTTTTTGTGTGTTTTGTTTGGCTCCAGGGTAGTTGCTGAGAATGACTTTCTACACTCCTTGCTGAACAAAGTGACAGCGTCACGAGGAGACAGTGGCGGGCAAGGTACACTTCTGCATTTACCAGCTTCTCTCTCTGTATCCATGTGTGAAAGCCAGGTGATTTTTCTGGCAAAGTAAGTGGCCCTGTATGCTCTAAAGGTTCCCACTGGACTGTGTACGCTGCAGCCAATTGTGGTGAGACAAAATGGCCATGTCTCATCACATCCTCGCCTCTTCTCTCTGCTCTGTGGGTGAGAACGGAGGACATTATCCTGATGGATAGCATGAGCCCTCGAGCTGATGTTTTCATATTACTTACCCTTTATTTCTCCCTCACAAACTTCAGTCTCGCTGCCCACTGCCCAATGTATATGGCAGACTGTGACAGCCCCTATGGGTGGTACCTCATAGACGTAGCCTGCGTGTCGGACTGCAGTGTCATATCACTCAGCTTTATCTTTCCTCACGCTCCTGAAAGCCCTGGGTGTAACCTAGATAGGAAAGGACGAGCAGATATGGAAGGTTCACCTGAGGCCGGCCGATGTCTGTTCTTTACATTACTCACTCCTAATCTCTCCTTCCTCTTACTCATGTTTCTGCCACAGCACACACTGACACACATATCAAGAGTAATCCCTGTAGGTATGTGGTTAGCCTTGAAAATGTGGGTTTGTGACACAGTCTATGTACTATAGTGAAATTACAGGGCTCGACATTATAAATGGCCCGCTGGCCCGGAAGCACTATTTAGACACCCCGGGCCAGCATAACGTACTTTCCACTTGCCCGCTCGGGCCACTAAAAATATTGCTTAAAAAAACAAAACGGTCCTGTGGTATAGGTATTTTGACTAGCAATTTTGTTAAATTTAGTTTATTAACGCTACAACATAGCGTTTTGTGAGGCGGTTGTTGTTGTTGGGTGAAAACAACAGCTGTTTGCTGCACAGTGCGAGCAGGCTCCCGTGAGTGGGAGCGCGCTCGTTCACTACAAACTTTCGCGCCACCTAACCATTCGCAAAAATGTCTTTAATACCAGCGGTAACTGGCCAAGCGCCGGGCCAAAAACAATCTTCAAATAAAAGAAAGTCACCGGAGGAGTTAAAGGAGTGACAGGGAGTATGAGAAGAAGAAGGAGAAAAAGTTTCAGCCACACTGGCTTGATCAATGGAGTTGGCTTCTATATTCAATTATTATATTATACTAAATTCTATATTGTGGACACGTCCTAGAACCCTTTTATAATTTTAGAATCATAAATCTATCGATTAGATTTATGATTAGAAAATTATAAAAGTAGGGTAGACATGTGGATATTATCCGGCTGAACAAAACGTGCATTCATCAAACAGGTTCGTTTTCCACAGACCTTATTTCCAGCTATTTTCCAAAACCCTGTGGAGAAATCCCATTGCTTTTTTGTCGAGGGAACCAGCAGCTTACTTCCTGGTTTTAGGATGCGTTACTGGCTGCACCTCTCAATATGATGCCAATATAAACAAGGTCTTCTGTCGGCTCTGTACATCAATGCCGACCTCTGCTGACAAGTAAGTGAAGAGTAGACAATATAAAAGGTATTGGCTGTAGGGAAATGTCCCAGCAGTTTAGGATAATCAAGGTTCTAATCTAATCTATTACATAGCCATTACATTTATAACTCCTAATGACAGGAAGGCAGAAAGCGCATTATACTAATAATAATATTCATAATAGCAGAATTGTTTTACCAATGACCACAATATCATTATTTTAATAAACCAAATATGAACAATTGAGGAAAATGAGGAAGAACTGATGATTCAAATGTTGTAGTACAAGTAGTAATGTAGTTAGTGCATAAATTACTATTGCAACAAATGTGTTCATTTTCTTCATTATTAGTTTTTTTTTTGGACGAATGCTCCGGGCCAGTGGTTACAATGGTGGGGCCAGTGATAATACAATTCCACCGACCCGGAGGGCCCAAGCCCCCAGGAAGTGCGCCGGAGTCTGATGAGAATATTCGTAGTGGCCAAACGGCAGTACTACACTTCCGTTTGGTTGCTGGACCCGGAAACACTTTTTCCCATTGACTTACATGGGGAAAGAGTGGTCTGTAACTCGTTGGATAATTTTTGTTAAACTAAATAAACAACCCAGTATGAACACTTGTATAGCCCTTATTAAAAACATTCGTTCCTCAAGTTGTAAAAATGTGCTAATAACGTTATTCTGAGAGTTATTTCCCTCGGCATTATGAACGCGCATCTAACCCACGGGACCGCGCCGCCCGGCACGTTCATGTTAGGTGTTCAGTACTACATGAGTTTCTCTTTACCCATGGATGCACAATAACAACGGACCATATCGCCTTACTGCCATCCCACGGAGCTGTAATAATGGATATATTGCACATGTTTGCTGTAATTCATCATTTGTAAAATATTATACTACATGGGCTGTATGATGTAAATCTTGTACCGTAAATGTTGTATTAAATAAAGTTAATATTACCGACGTAGATTAACGTTCCTGTAGCTTGTTATTGCACTTGCAATTGTTTTAGTTACTTGTGGGCTACATAACATGAATAATCACAGTTACTATCCTTTTACTCCATCACATTTAAAAAAGAAATAGGCTATTGTTATTTTAACTCCACCACAGTAATCCATCACCAGCTTTACTTTTTAGATAACGTTTTAACTCACAATTGATCATAACAGGCTTCAACATATACATTTTTATATATTACCAAGTGGTTTCATGTACAACCCACACAAGTATCATGCTAAATGAAGCTCTGTTGCTTGGATATCACTAGATCCTGATGTCAGCGTAATATAAAAGTACATAACGATTGATGTGTAATTTAGCATAATTTACTAGCTAGCTGCTTACTGCCGCCTCGTTAATATAAATCCAGTACCATGCTGTCATGAACGCGCGGTGCTGTTACGTGTACGCAAATTCACGTGCTTAATGTGGACGAGCCTTTTGGACGGCGTGGTTAAAGTTGCGCATGCTCGATGAGTGCACATACGGGTACTTCTCAGGCATGCCGGGTAATCTGTGACGTTTCGCTCTCTCAAAAGTTGGGCCATTTTGTCATCATGCGCCATTGAGCAACTCTCATAGGAATGAATGAGGCCCCGCCTCCCACGCTGTATCCAGTTCTTATTATACATCCATGGGAGGGCCCTTAATGTCTACCCCTGAAATGGCTCGTCCTTTTCCATGCTTTTTCCCATAATTTCTCTGAAAGCTTTGAGAGCCCATATTCTTTAGGACAACATTCCCCCCCCCCCTTCTTTTCCACCCCTTTGACAAACAGGAGACAGAGGTTTTATAGTGTTATTGATTAGTCTAGTCTGTAACAACAGAAGACATTTTCACATCCCCACATCACCTTGAGACACTTTAACATTATGCTCCTCATATATAAACACTTATATTTTACAAAGTGGATCTCACTTTATGTTCATCTGTCAAACTTAAGTGTTTTAGGGATGCTGAAAACCTCTTAAAATGTTTTTATGATTAAGATTTAATAGTAGAGGGCCTTGAAATTCCTTTTTCATTTATTGGGCTTTAATTAGATTTTGCTTACCTGCAGAGCGAAATAAAAACTCTGGATCCCTTATTTTTAGAATCAACTGAAGTGGCAGCAATTTCTTCTTAAATGTTCTGATATTCGGTTCCACAAAGTTCTGTATAAGTAGCATTGAATTACAAACTTATAGCCCAGTGTTTTCCTATAAGCTGTTTTGGGTACTCAACTTTGTTCCCTATTAAAGTATTACAGGATAATATGTTTATATTCCTTGCTTGTGGCACTGAACAGTAATGAACACAACATCTTCAGTAGTTACCAAGGAGTCGATAAGCGATACATCAGTACGGGGATGGATATCGGATACTGTCCAGTTGATATATCGTTTTTTTGATAATGATGGACATGTAACCTTAAATTCTGGCACATGTTTTTTATTGTATTCATGTTTCTGTGGTCTTGTTTTTTTTATCCTATGTTTCTTGTGAAGCACTTTGTGAATTGTATTTCTGAAAGGTGCTATACTAAATAAACGTATTATTATTATCTTAAAATTCCACAAGGAAATGTTGCTTTTTTACAAATGTATTGCTTAGTTATTATTATTACACTTTAGATTTGTGTCATCTTTCTTAAGAGACACAATCATCTTCTGATGATCTAAAGGGGCTTATCATTAATATGTATTTTTAAGGAAAGTTAACACTGCTTAAGAAAAGGGAATAAAAGAATCGCGAGTCCCATTGCAAACATCCAGTTTTTTACTTATGAACCTGAGGAATGTACATGGGTAGAATATTAATCCAAAGCCTCTTTCTCTCCCCCGTCTCCCTCCAGGTCTGTGGGTGACTTTGAAGACTCTGGTCGGAGACATAGTTCAGATCCGGAAGGAATACCCTCACCTGGTGGACCGCAGCACCGTGGTGGCCCGCAAGCTGGGCTTCCCGGAGATCATTATGCCGGGAGACGTGCGCAACGACATCTACCTCACCTTACAGGGCGGCGACTTCGACAAATACAACAAGACGACACAGAAAAACGTGGAGGTCATCATGTGGGTCTGCGATGAGGAGGGCAAGGTCATACAGGTGAGCAACACGAAGAGATGAGGCTGCGGATACATGCGCATATTTAAAGAGAAAAGGGATTTGTGTAAACACAGATTGATTTGTGTGTCTGGGATTTGAGGTGGAGTCTGCAGGTAAGAGTGTGTGTGTGTGTGTGTGTGTGTGTGTGTGTGTGTGTGTGTGTGTGTGTGTGTGTGTGTGTGTGTGTGTGTGTGTGGTGTGTGTGTGTGTGTGTGTGTGTGTGTGTGTGTGTGTGTGTGTGTGTGTGTGTGTGTGTGTGTGTGTGTGTGTGTGTGTGTACCATATGTGTAGTGTTTAAGAGATTGAGTTGGTTTAGGCCACTGAGCAAACACGGCACTGATCAGGGGCTTATTCACCCCCTCATAGTCAGGGACACATAAACGTGGCTTTATCCCAGAATGAAAATCTATTTTTAGGCACACATGGATGAACATCACACACGCACATATGCACAAAGTCACAAACATCAAATCCTTCATCTCAATATGACACATACTTTTTTCTTTCTCTCCCTCTTTCCTAGAACTCCATCTGTTTGGGCGCAGGGGATAAGGCGGTCAGTGAGTACAGATCCGTCATCTACTACCAAGTCAAACAGCCCCGCTGGATGGAGACAATTAAGGTGTGTGTGTTTGTGTGTGTGTGAGGGAGTTGCAGAGCTAACAATTAAAATAAAGTTTGAGGTAGAATTTTACTTTTTTCTATAGAAACTTATTTTAGTTTTCTTGAAGGTGTCTGATGTTTATGTAGCTTTTGCATTCTCCATTTCAAACATAAATACCAAGAAAATAAACCTGTAAAGTTTGAATATATGTTACTTTATTTCCTATAATAATGTGTCCTCCAGGTGGCTGTTCCCCTGGAAGAAATGCACAGGATTCATTTACGCTTCATGTTCAGACACCGCTCTTCCCAGGAGTGTGAGTATCGGCCTCTCCGCCTCTCCTCTGCTCCCCTGAGCATTATGGGGCACTACAAACACCGAATGATTGGGAGCAATTTGGAAAATGGCCCAAGCCATCATTACGCACACTTGATTATACAAATCGCTGCTTTTTATTCCTGCAATGCCTGAATCCTCCCTCCACCTCCTCCCCTTCTTATGTGTTTCTACCCTCTTTAAATGTATAAACCAGAGTTCCCGTTAGAATATTTTTTCGCCGGTCAACATGTCCGTTAAAGTTTAAATCTTCCGGACAAAATGAGAAAAGTGCCGGTCAAAGGTCTTCTTTGTTATTTATTGAGCTTTAAAACAAATTGAAATGATTCGATATTAAACAAACTAATTATAGTAGATTAACTACATTATTCAAAAGTGAACAGTAATTTACAATAACACGGGAATAATAAACGGAGCGCTCTCTCCCTCTCCTGACAGCCCGTCAGTATCATGCAGCTCGCGGATCAGTAATGAGTGACCCGACAGTAAAACTAAACATATAACTAGTTTAGGTAGTTTGAGAGGTAATTAAAATAGCTACGTGTGATATTCTAACCTGAAGTGTGTGTTTTGTCCGCTCACCGCTGCATGTGATCATGCAGAGCTGCGTGTCGACTCGTCAGCAGCAGCTGATCTCTCTCTCTCCCGTCAGATTAGACTTCACTCGCGTTTATGTCCATATCGATCAGATCCAGCTAGTTCTAGCTAATGATAGGACTACCTGCTTATTAAAAGACACCTAAACAATAAGCGTCGCTATGCAACCGGGTGAGGCCGCAAAATATAGCGTAGCATTATGCATTTGTTTACATGCCCACCGGAACCCCGAGGCATTACCAACAGATCAACGCACAATCAACCCATACAGGACATCTCTTTCTCCACATTAAGTGTTAGACATTATAATTGACTATTCTTGTCTGTCACATACTCTTTTGTCTGTCATATAAATGGTGCAAGTTGCGCAACTGATGTGGTATTGCGCTAAGCGGAAATTATTTTGAACGGACACTTTGACCGGAGAGATTTAGATTTGCCGGTCTTCAGCATATTTTACCGGTCGTAGTCCGGTAATTACCGGCTAACGGGAACTCTGGTATAAACCCGTCTCCTTTGTCTCCAGCGAAGGACAAGAGCGAGAAGAACTTTGCCATGGCCTTTGTGCGTCTGATGAAGGACGACGGGACAGTTCTGCAAGATGGACTGCATGACCTTGTAGTCTTCAAGGTCAGAATCAAAAACAGAACCAATGCAGAAAGAAAGCAGACGATCAGGTTAATTGAAAAACAAATCATCATGAGGCAAATTTCAGCTCACTGATTTATCTAAAGTGGATGTGCAAGTTATAATTGAGAACCATATCCCATCGTCCTTGACCCTCCACACTCTTACAGACGCCAAAGCTCCTCTGAGAGTAAAACATGACAGGGTGAGCATTTAATGATGAGAAATTATCACAGTTTATTTGGATTACAGCCATTATTACTATACATCTGGAATAAATGTGTAGGTACAAGTTTAAGTGGCAACATACAAACTGGTAAACAACACAACCAGCGCAATAACTATTTAATGACCAGATATCATTAATAGTTATATATTCTATAACAGTTAATCAGTTGCAAGTATCATTAAAGAAGACCTAAACATTTAGTGAGTATGGACCGGAGATTATAGCCACCCAGGTTGAATAAAGCCAAATAGATTTGCTGCCAAATGAGCCAAAGCTAAGATTGAATCCCACTATTGATTAAATGCCAAACGCAATGAAGATTAATTACTCGTGATTTACTCTAAAGACCAAATGGATGGTCCCTATGTGCCCTCTTTCTCGATTATCTCTCGTTATCCCTGCATTCCTCTCGATCTCTGTGCCACTCACTCATTATTACTTACTCTTTTGGCATTTAAGAGGGTAGAGTTGAGGTTTGAGCCCCAAACGAATCTGACCTGACCTACAGTACAGTAAATCATATATAAAAAGTATAGTAGGTAAAGTATAATCACATTAACAAAACGTATACAAAATAGTAATATGAATTAATTTGATGTTGCTTATTCTCATAGTTTCCGTCTTCTCTATGTGTTCGGTCCATCTCTTCAGCACTTTCAGCAAGACAAATGCTGTACCAACAGCTGGGGTGGTTTCTGTTTGGGTCTAACCTGTCGTGGCCCCAGTGTTTCTAAAGTTATGAGTTTACAAACCGAAATGGAGTCAGGTAGAAGTAGATAATGCATTGTGGTCACAGAGAACAACTGCTGTGGAACTGGCGACTCCAGGTACTGTTTGTCATTTGTTCCTTCAGGGCTGGCCTTATAAATCATTGCCAGTGTATCCAACCCCAGTGTCTCGTACTCCTGTGTTTGCATCAAGGCAGTCTGACTTAACACAGGAAGTATAATTCCCGTCCCAATGCTGCTGCATAGCCATCAACCATCTGTGCCATCATTAGCAAGTTTTAGCATTACTGGTGTGTCAACATAATTTTTTTTTTCCATCACAATTTGTTGACCATACTAAAAGTATGGTCCCTCTCAACCTTATTGAAGAGTATGTATCTAATAAATACATTAATTGTGTTTATTTAATTATCTTTTTGAAGGTTGAGAGAGACTGAAACTTTAGTATGATTACTACATTGATATGCTGAACATTATTGGGTTAAAAATGACTCACTTACATTGTATTCTCAGGGTGACAGCAAGCGCATGGAAGACGTGAACTGCTACCTCTCACTGCCTTCGACCCGCAACAACCACAGCGACAACCACAAGGGGTCAGTGCTGAGTCGCAGCTCCAGCAACGTGTCCGGGAGTGGAGGCCTGTCCGTCAGCTCCAGAGACATCTTCTGCACCTCCACCCTGGTCTGCTCCACCAAGCTCACCCAGAATGGTAGGTGTATGTGTGTTTCTGTGCAGGTGTGGGATGTTCGAATAGCTCCTTTTTGACATTGTGTTATAAATTAATCAACTCTGGAGACTTGGAAGGGCAAAACATTTATTTCAGAAACATGCATGCACGTACGCACACACGCTCACAAAAGTTGAAGAAAGATCACGACAGAAATTATGAGGAGGAACGTATTTGAAATTAAACCTGACATGTTAAAAAAAACATTAATTAACATCTTTCAACAGAGTAATAAGCGCATGCCAAGACAATGAATCATCTGTTGGCTGATAAATTGGTAGAGGACACATCTGCTGCTTAGGGGGTTTCTTTATTTCTGAAAACATGACTGGTCTGAATACCATATTCTCTTGGGCTTACTGTTTGGGAAAGACATATTTCTCTTCAGAACAACAACATAATTAGTAGTGAAATGCAGATAAACGGCAACCCTGGGGCCAAGTTTTATTTTTAGATTCAAAGCTGTCATGGTGACAATAGCTGAAAGGTCCAGTGAGATATGAAGATGTCCAGTCAATTAATAAAGAATCAACTGTATATTAATCTGGTTGTGTGTGTGTAACATGTTACGGCCATGGGCTAGTAAGCACAGGCTAGTGGGAACTATGTGTATACATGGGTTTGATTAGTGAGGAGTGTGTCATTTTGTCCTACACACTCTGGCAGGCAGCCACACAAGCAGACTCACACACTGAAGTGCACAACAACAAATACACGCACAATGCACGTACTTTCCAGACAGTATGGAGCATCAGGCACAGGTGCAGGGAAACAGCTGTTACTGAGGAAGCCAGTCCATCACTATAATGAACATTATCCTGCAATATTAATCACCTGTACCACACACACACTCAAACTGACACACACACAAAGACACTCTCAGGCATGCATGCACACACACAGTGTGGTAAGGGGCCACCAAGCAGATGTGCGGCATGGCTTGGTGAGTCAGGAATTATTGGACAGGAAAAGCAATGAGCTTCAAGCAGGCAGCCCTGCAGGGACGGGGAAATCTGCCCCATGTCAAACTGTAGCAGAATTAATGACAGAAACTGTGGATTTAAATGTTCAGCTTAAAGTCTGAGCAGAGGAACAGGGAGTGTCCACATGACACATAATCACTAGATGAATGGCTGTACTTATACATAAGAGATGGATTTACAAAATAATATCTATTTATTGAATATATTATTTAGTTTAAGATTCAGCAACATTCACATTTTTGTTCTTTCAATCTTTATTATTCTTTCTTACCTCTTGGTCTGCTCCTACTTGTGCCTACTTTCCGCTACAGAAACCTTTCAAATATCAGTGTTCCGCTCCTTAAGGAGATGTGTGCGATGTCTTTCCATGTTCCTTCCTCTTTTTAGTTTTATGTTCTTTCTTTCTTTGTTTTGGAGATAATCTTCCAATCCTCTTAAAACCTGCTCAACTTGAAAATGTAACTCCATTGACATATGTTTAGCTTCAAACTTTATTTCTAACTTTAAACAATGCTACGAGACTATGAGACATAAAACCATGAGTTGGCTTTTCATATATTTTAAAGTTTTTACTTTATCACAATTTCCTTTTATGCCCTTTTCTGACATTTTCTGAGTTTAAAATGGCTGTGAGTTGTGGTGCGTAGATTGTGTCGCATCACATAACCTGCGATGTCCCCAACTTGATCTATTATTTTACCATTTTTTTCGTACTTATAGTTTTCAGAACTTTCACTTCTCAAGCATGATCTTATATTATTTAGGTTATGCACTAACCAGGACACAGAAGCTCACACACGCTGATTGGATTTTCATAGTAAGAGCCCCAAGTGGGTAATAAGTATTTATCCAAACCACAAACTATTAATTTCACAAAGATATGAAATGGAGAAAAGCAGCAGATTGCTGAATATCATATTGTTGCCAACCTTTTCTCTCGAGTAGACCATAAATTATGTATTTTGTACAACTCTTATTTCATTACAGCGTAACTGCTTATCAACACCAACTTCTTATCTTACTAATTATGTTAAAAGTGCAGTTTATATGTATTCTGAAGAACAAAGGGGAGACACACTGTCACATGTTCAAGGGAACACAGTGAAAATACTCAATTGAGAAAATGACAGTCTTTAACGATGCATTTGGAACACATTTCCATTTTAACAGCTTTAATCAGCATCTAGTTTTGAGCTAGACAGCTGTGTTTAAGACAGCTGAACAGTAAATGTACTCTGTGGGTCTCTTCTCTCCAGTGGGCCTGCTGGGGCTGCTCAAGTGGAGGAGTCGACCCGAATTCCTCAAAGAGAACCTTGAGAAACTCAAAATGATTGATGGAGAGGAGGTGGTCAAGGTCAGTGCTGTGAATACAAGTGTGTCTTTGCATTAAGTGTGCAGACTGATATGTGTGTGATCTCACTCTCTTCCTCTGGATGTATGGGTTTTAGTTTCTTCAGGACACTCTGGATGCCTTGTTCAGCATCATGATGGAGCACTCTCAGACTGACGACTATGACATACTCGTTTTTGACGCCTTGGTGAGTTTGTGGTGTTTGTTTACACAGATAATGTTGTGTATATCTCCGTGTGTGTGTGGCCTGTCACCAGATACAGCTGAATTTGTGACAGGCTGTCTGTGTGTGACATCTTGGCGTACCTAGCCACCTTTTTCTAAATAAACATGTCTATCAGATGATTGTACATAACTTCCTATCTGCCTTGTAAATGTATACTCCCATTTAACCATGTAGCTCTCTCTGTCTCTCTTGTGTCTGCCAGATATACATCATAGCTCTGATTGCTGATAGGAAGTTCCAGCACTTCAACACAGTGTTGGAGGCCTACATCAAGCAGCATTTCAGTGCTACACTCGCATACAAGTAGGTCACTTCCTGGATCACAGACCACTTCCTTTCATCTCATTCGGTTTCAGTGTTCATGCGTTTCCTGAATGACAGAAGCCACTGTTCTCACAATTTGTTCGTGTTACATCAGATTGTAATGTTTATATTCTGATCAAAATGTCTACACCTTTTCTCAGTAGGATCATTTATAGAAAAAAAAAAATAGAAAGCAAAGACATCTCTCTACTCATCTGCCACAGGAGACTTTATTATCAATTAAACTCAATGAGCTCATCTGGCTATTTAAGGATTAAGTCATTTTACTGTGGCCTCCATAAACTGCCAGCTGAATACTTAATTTGAAACATTTATTCTCCTTTGGTGGGAAAATGCAAGCGCTGCAGTGTATCAGCAATGTTACCTGTTTGCGTTTCAAATGAAGGATTATCTGATCTTTCCCCACTCCTTGGCATTTACGAAATCTTTAAAATCCCATTAAATAGTCAACAAAATGCTTTGTCATCAAGCCAAAAAACAGATTGTCTTGTGTTTCTTATCCCTTGCCACACGAGGACGAAAACGATACGGACCGCAATCGTTATCTAAAAAGGTCTTCCGTCCACACGCAACAGGCACCAGAAACGTGTCCGTTCCATAGACTGTATATATAGGTCCGTTCACACGAGACCGCTCGAAAGCGCTGGAGACGCTGTAGTACATATGCCAGGCCTGTAAGTGGCGCTGTAGTCCTGCACAAAAGCAGCGAAGAAGACTCCACGCGCATGGTTGCCATGGTTGCCCTTCTGTTTATTCTCCGCTGTGGACGCTCTGGCTCTTTTTCTCCCTCCCCGAGGCAAGCGTTTGCTCCTGCTGTAATTCTCTCCGGTTTGCCACCAGCAGATGACAAACACCCACCCCTCCGCCTCTTCCAACGGACGTGGGGACCGTGCAGCAGAGTTTCAGTTAGATTTTGTTTTCGCCGGTCAACATGTCCGTTATAGTTTGAAAAGTGCCGGTCAAAGGTCTTCTTTGTTATTTATTGAGCTCCCCCTCTTCTGAGAGCCCAGCAGCTGATCTCTGAGCAAGAGAGGCGGGGCTATTGCTTCATCGTTATCAGGACATGATCGTATAGGCGTAAACACGGAGCCGTTTGACCCCCAGAGCGTTTCGTTTGCAGATCTACCCACCTAGGGACCCGTTATCGTTATCTTTTTCTGCGTTTCCATGTCGGCCTTGTGTGGCCGAACCGTCTATCTGATAGCAGATACGACCGTTTTCGTCCTCGTGTGGCAAGCCCCTTAGAAAGTTGGACAGAACAGTTTAAAGTACACTACCAGAAACACATACAGTACAATCATGTGGGTTGTCTGAATCACATTCACAAAACTGTCAGTTGGGCCAATACCATTCTTCATATACAAGTTTTATACCTTTTTTGGTCAAATAAATGTCACCTGAAGATCCAATGTTAAAAGGAAAATCGGCCCTCTTTAGCGTGGATCTCCACTCATTGTTAATGATAAATGTAAAGTGAAGCAATACATTTTTTAAGTGGATGCTACAGTATATTGATATATTTGTCTGCCTCCCAAAGGGTCCCCAGCAGCCTTATCCTCTTGCCAGGCAGCTTCTGTCTCTCTCCACTGCATTTCTTTCAAACGCTCAAATAAATACAGCTGGTATCCGAGTCAGCCTAAACACTGTAAACACGATTCTTCTATAACATTTCCTGTGCCCCTGTAATCTGGGATTCTATATTTAGCTGTGCGACACGTAGATAGTTCCGTTTTAAAGCAGTTTGTTGAGCACGCCTCCTGGCTACCCAGATAAGGAGTCTGTGACCTCACCACTACAGTAGATGCCACTAAATCCAAAACACATCATTGTATCCACCTGCCACTGTAGGTCGGTGTGTGAGGGCCTTTTGCAGCACTTGACTGAACAGGATTACAGTTTTAACCCTGCCTCTGTGGAGTGGCAGCTGAAGCACTCAGGCATGCACCCAAACACATCTGCCTGCTCCTTACTCTCTGTTAATTTACTTAACTTGATTCAGTGAGTGAGACACAATATTCTTTTGCATTGCCAAAGCTTCGGTTAGGGAATTAAAAGCATTTTTTCAATCTTCCTGCCCTCTCTGCTGTCTCTCCATCACTCCATCCCTACCCTGCCATTGTGTTGGTGTTCACCCTCTTTAAAAGGGTCACTACAGCTTAACGCCTGCCAGCCCAGAGGCTGTTATGTAAAGACCTCAAACCCCCTCTCAATACCTTTTAAACTGCCTATCGCTTGCTTAAAAAAATTATAGATCCTCCTGTGATCGCATTCAAGCCATGCACTAAAACAAAACCAGGGAAGACTGAATATAATATTATAATATTGTAGATCATATATAAAAAGGCCAACCTGACAGCAGTGAGGACAGATTAAAGTTCACTTTTCTAATGGGACTTTTATTGTTTAAGACAGGGGTGGGGAACCTTTTTCCTCTCAAGGGCCATTTCAATGTTTTCAACATCCTCCGAGGGCCGTACAAATTATTGACCTCTGCTTAAAAATACTAAAATCACAGCCCACTCATTTCACCTTTCTTTCATGCTGTGCAAAGAAAAAGCAACCTCTTAATCCAGATATCTTACCATGACTCGCGCATGCATGCACGTGCACAGTTGTGGCATGACCACCAAAACAGAAAGATATGGACACAAGATGTGTGCAAATGTATTTAGTTTCCTATCCATATAAGTGGGGGGGACCTAACCTCCTCTAGGGGGGTCCGGGGGCATGCTCCCCCGGGAAGATTTTTTTTAAAATGTTGAAGTTAAAAGCATCAATCTGGTGCACTTTGAGAGCAACATTAGATCTATGGATACATCTCTCAACATCCAGATGAAACATAACTGTAAGCAGATTTTCTTTTTCTTTATGGATATTTTACAAATCACTCTCCTTTTAAACTGTATTCTTGTTTATTAATAACAACTTTTTTTTACTGTCATATAGTATTTTATACCTGTTTAATTTATTCTCTTATTTTTTTATAACTATAATGATCATATAAAGATGTGCCTTTACCTCACTGGTTGTAGAAAAAGCTTCTTATATTCGTTAGCATAGCTAGCTAACCAGATGCTAATAACAACAAAGTTATTGACTGTATGATCAGTATGACAGATCGCCACTGGGCTTACAACTAAGACACAGCCACGCAAAAACTGCAGCATGTGTACGGCTCCTTATGGGTACTGCAATTTTTGGAAGTGCCGGAGCGGAACTGCGTTCTGGTGCTCCCCGAACTACACCCCTGTCAGACAACACATATACCAGGTGAACATGGTGATGACACGTTAGGCTTGTGTTGTGTTCAAGGACCCTGACCTTGGCCAGGAAAAACAGGCACTCACTTGTTTAATTATTTTGCGGTCTAGATTTCTTTAATTTTTTGCGTGTGTGACACCAAATGGTCTCGCGGGCCGTATACGGCCCGGGTACCGGAGGTTCCCCACCCCTGGTTTAAGAGGATTGGGTAGATTTATAAAAGTAAGTGAGTGATTCCCTGTTGCTTTTCATGAAATAGAGCCATCACAAAGCCAAAACTCTCGGCCCATTTTAGGCCTACAGTACTGTCTTATTTTTACTGAATGTCATGTCATTGAGATTAGGCCGTGGGAGATTTGGAAGAGAAATAGTTCATAAACTTAGACTGAACTCTGTGCCACCCACACCTCTCCAACTGCTTTGACACATAAGAATATTCAGGTGTGTCTAAAGACGGCTGTGGGGAGTGCATGTGTTGGAGAATGATATTCCACCGTGCGTCTGACGGTGTCTGTGAGCTGTGTGAAAGGTACATCTGTTGAGGTGTGAAATACTATTTTGACATTTTTCCGGCTCAACCTCCCTGCCAGTCTTCCTCTCTCTCTGTCTTTCACTCTCACTCTGCTGAACTCCGTCTTTCTGCTCTATGGAAGTGAAAAATGGAGTTGGTGATTAATTTCCCAACCTGTGGATCGTCAGAAAAGGAGTGACAATTCCGACTGGATGATTTAAATGTTCTCCTTTTCTCCCTTCCCCTTATGTCTGGATTCTGTTTCCCATTCTACCTTTCTAACCCCCCCAATTCTATTGCTACAGTAATATAATTTTCTCCCAGGAAGCTGATGTCGGTGTTGAAGAGGTATCTGGACGTGTCCAGCCGAGGCGAACAGTGTGAGCCCATCCTCAGAACCCTCAAAGCCCTCGAGTACATCTTCAAGTTCATCGTCCGATCACGCATGCTCTACTCCCAGTAAGTGTCTGTGTACCTTTTTGTTGACTGGCCATTATGTTAATTAATACCTGTTCAATTTCTTTTAGGAACCACAATAATGCAAATAGACATTCTTGACCGCACGCAGAGCCCAGTGACTCAGCAGGAGTAATCGGTTTTGACAGTTCTGTGCGAGCAGGCTGCTGATTAGAGCACTATTGTTGCTAATGAGCATTGATGATGAAGTTCAGGGGCCGAATTATAGCTAATGTCAGGGCAGGGCTGCTGAATGGGCAGCCAACGAAACACCAGGCAGACAAAGATCCTGCAAAGAGAGACTTATGACACCCACTGTGCTGAGCCAAGAGCTGCACCGTAAGATCATTGTAAACACCATTTATAACTGCAGCGCAATAACTGATGCTGACAGATCCGAAACATGAAGCACAACAAGGGGTGTGACTTGCCTATGGGTGACGTCTGTGTGTGTGTGTGTGTGTGTGTGTGTGTGTGTGTGTGTGTGTGTGTGTGTGTGTGTGTGTGTGTGTGTGTGTGTGTGTGTGTGTGTGTGTGTGTGTGTGTGTGTGTGTGTGTGTGTGTGTGTGTGTGTGTGTGTGTGTGTGTGTGTGTGTGTGTGTTTGATAAATAAGACGCAGCCGTGTGCGTAACTGAGTGCTTGTTCATGAAAAGAATGAAAGATGTATGTTTGAATTGTTTTGGTGTATGCCTTTGTTAGTAATTAAGTTTTAGTGGTTTTTTGTCTGTGGGTTTATGTGTTTGGTATTCAAAATAAAATGGTCAACGAAGGTCTTTTTAATCTTCTCGGGGGCCTCGACGGCTGTGTTGAAATTGGTGTGTTTTTCTATCAGTGTGCTGGATTTGTTTTTGTTTATTCAGTGTGTGCGGATTTGTGTGAAGTGAGTGAGTGTGTGTTTATGTGCATGTACAACCGTCCACTAACCTGTGTGTGTGTGTGTGTGTGTGTGTGTGTGTGTGTGTGTGTGTGTGTGTGTGTGTTTGCGTTAGGGCTGCGCGATTTGGGGAAATAATCTAATTGCGATTTTTCTGACAGATATTGCGATTCGATTTGCGATATTTGTTTTTAAGCGACCCAACGGAAGAATGCGGCCATATCTCCGGCTAGGAAGGTCGTATCAACGTGCTCCCGTCTCTAGCACCCCCGCAGCCCGAGCTACGAGTGAAAGAACTTAACTTACATGAAACTTCCGTTGGGTTGCTTTAAAGTCAAGCTTCAGTTTAAGATTCAGCCTGTAATAGATGTAAAACATGTGATGGAGCATTACTAACCTGACTCAGATGGTTTGTTTCACCAAACCATCTAGGAAAGCTCCATTGCAAGCCATTTGGAAAAGTATTTCAAAAATACTTGGCAGGTGATTGGATCAATACTCTATCACCTACTATCATGGGCCACTGGCTGGTACATGTGGAGCACAGCACTTCTGATTGGTGTGGATGACTGACACACAAGAAGGAAAAAGTTTTTTAAAAATCGCAGGCTTTGCGATTTGATAATCGCATCATTTAAAATCGCGATTTCGATTTAAAATCGATTAATCGTTCAGCCCTAGTTTGCGTGCTCCACTGCTCCTGGATTGACTGAGCTTCCGTCCCCAGCCTCCCCTGGGTATCTCTGAACCGATAAAACTCACTCCCTTCTCTCTTTTCGCCCTCCACCTACCTGCAGCCGATAACAGTTCTTCTTGCTCTGCATATAAAGTTTTCACACTGAGGTTTTTCCTCCTCTTAAGGCCTTGTCATGCCAACGGAGAATTGGGTATTCAAGGGAGCCACTGGTTATTTAGGTGCATCTGTAAGGTCCCATCATCATCAAGACTACCACTCATAAATAGTTAAATAGGCGACACTGAAGATTTATTAGCTTGTCAAACCGACTTTGTGTTCATAAAAACTCTATTAGAAACGTGTGATGTTTGCTTCAAAAATATGTAAGGCACGCTGTACTAGATTTTGCTCTTTCCTTCACCTTCTGTCTGTCCTTCAGGCCCTGCAGCTTTCATATTACTTCCACTAGTCTAGTTCATCAGGTGTGTGTTTTTCCTTTTTCCTTCCCCGGAGCACTTGCTCTATATTTCTCCTCCTGTCTTACCCTTTCCTCGTCCCCCTTCTTTCCATCCCTTTTTCTCATCTTTAGGTTTACCTTCTATCTTTACTTCATTCTTCTTTTTTAAACATTCTCTCTCTCTCCAAAGCAAAAGCACACAGCATTAACATTTTCACAGACAAAATAAGTATGTTTTCTAATATCAATATATGTTCTTATTAATGCAGTTAGGATTCTGTTAGGACATCTGTTCTGTTTTCAATGAGAAGCCTTTTTCAGACTTTTCTTCAGGGTCTTTCACTCCATTTCTGTTGATACCCTGCCCTTCATGACTTTCCGTATATCTTCAGTATTTGTTTGCTGAGCAGTCTAATGTATATGTGTTATCGCTCTGCTGTGCGTGTGTTTGATGTGTGTGTTTGTGTGTTTGTGAGCACAGCTAAGCTGTAATAACAGCCTATGGTTATTTTGGCTGTTATTTCCATATATATATTTACAGGGTGTAACATGCTTGTGAAGTGTACTTTTATACAGCTCTGAAGACCATTCCACATTTTTCTTAAATCTCAATCTCTACATGTATGGCAGCCATTCCATTATTTTATCTGTTGAATTCCAACATGGATAAATGTTGCCAGTACTCAAACACATATCTATAAAGAGTACAACTAGAGAAACTGATCATTTTGCAGTGGTCTCTTCATTTTTCTCAGAGCTGTATACAGTAGATGTGGTGTGAGTGCTCAACCTGGTGTTATGACACCATCTCTGACCCTGATGCATCTAGACATCATCTCTTTACACACACTCACACACATGTTCATGCACAGACAGGGCCTGTGGATTAAGCAGGACACTGGGTCTGTCATCATAACTGTACTCTGCAAAGCGCCCAGTGATAATACCGCCGTGTGTTACCGCATAATCCCTCCCTGCACATGCTACATTTGCTGTGTGCCACATGCTAATCCTTCCCTCCAGAACCCAAAACTTCTATTATAATTAATAACTGCAAAGCTCCACTGAATCACACAGAGATAGTGAGATGGGGGGAGGAAAGATGGATGAGAGAGACGTTTCCTTGGGGTGGAGGAAGTTAAACTGGAGCGATAGTAGAGGAATATGTGGGTGTTTGTTTGATGTGAAAAAGCAGCAACAAAGATCACCCAAAGTCAGAGGAGGGTTGTTATAATCACTGCAGTTGGTACTTATCAATGTTTACTTTAACCTTGTCCACATAATACTTTATTAGTTTGCAGCAGCACTTTGGAATAGAATGTATTGAATTACAAGTCTGCACTGAGTTGGAGAATAATTACATAGCCAGAATGACTTCTTTGTCTTACAACTTTATATGTTAAATACAATATTGACCTTAAGCTTTAAATGTATAGCACCTTCACTTTGAATATATTTTAAACCATATTATTAAAGAAAGAAGCGAGGACCTGCAACCAATTCAGTTGACTCCCAATTTCTATAAAAACACATAATCTAGGAGTAATTTCCCTGTTGCTAGATAACTCTGAGACTGACAGAGAAAACTAGCTCTGGCTTGACAAGGAATCTTGAAAAAAAGTGAAACTGTAAGTTCATCAAACTTAAATGTTTCATATTTTAGTTATTCATTTGCTGACTAGTTTGTGCGTTACACTCAATATTTTTTACATAATGTTGATCAAACATTTTTTAAATAAGGCTGTTTTTGCCTTCATCTATATTCAACTTGAGTTTATTGCCAGCCATCTTTGTTTTTACACTTTGTGTCTTATTTTCTCTCCCCACCTTCCCACCTCAATGATTATCCACCTCCCTGTTGTTTTCTCTCATCTTTCAGCTCCTACCTCCATCCTTTCCTCCATTCCCCTTTCTAATCGTGTCTTGTTTTCTAATGTTTGCCTCATTCATCAGAAAATCATTCAGTTTTTCCTGTTGCATTTCCATTGATGTCCTCCTCCTCCTCCTAGGCTGTACGAGGGGAAGGAGCAGGCGGAGTTTGAGGAGTCGCTGAGGAGGCTCTTTGAATCCATCAACAGCCTGATGAGGACAGACTACACCACCACTCTGCTGCTCAGGGTAATCATACGTCTTGACCTTGAACCCCATTCTTCATCACCCAGCTCTCATTCTTACCTTTTTTCATCCTTATGCTCTATTTTATTAATTTTTTTACATGTACCTGTCTGGTTCTGATTTATCTTCTTCCTCCTCAATCCCAGACTTCTCTAATGCGATCACTATTCTGCTGCTTAAAGACATACAAACAGATCGAGTCACAGAAAGTTAAGCAGAAGAACTAGTGGCCCTGTAAAACATAAAATAGATATTTTCTCAAACTTCTGATCAGAGGTTATTTGATGGCAAAGTCACCTTCTGTTCACCAACATCTTCCACAGGATTTCAAGACAGCTTTTTAACAGTGTTTACTTGTCCTGTGTGTGTGTGTGTTTCATCAGGTTGCTGCTCTGAAGTACCTGCCAACAGTCCTGCATGATGTTGAGAAAGTGTTTGATGCCAAACTTCTCAGGTAAGCTTGCCTTTAAACACACACACCACACACACACACACACACACACACACACACACACACACACACACACACACACACACACACACACACCACACACACACACACACACACACACACACACACACACACACACACACACACACACACACACACCAGCTCCTTATCTTTGGTCTCATTCAGTGACACTGACAGGGGATATAGGGGAGCTTTCAGTTCAGCTGAGGTTTTAGTCTTGGCTTTCTTCAGTGACCCCCATCCTTCTGTCCCACACCTTCCAACCTCCTCCTTATGCCCCTGAGTGAATTGACAATTGCAGTGAAACCATCAAACAAAACCCATTTGAACCTCTTCTCTCAGGTTCTCATCCTCCTAAAGAGCTAAATGACTTGGAATGGCTAGTTGAACCTCTGTTTGACCCCGAATCAGTGTATATACCTCAGCAGTTTTTCAGGCACTCTGTTTGTCCTCTAGCAATTCCACAACCTAACAATGATCCATTCTCTTGGTATGACCTTTTTACCTTAGCAAAATATGTTAATTGATGTTTTCCTACCAGCAATGTTCCATTTTAAACACCCTTATCCTCACAGTTGTGCTTTTCACCTTTCTGTGACCCGTGTGCCTTTGTGTGTTTGGGGATTATCCACATCTGCCAACTTAAGTCCCTGTAGTGGCTCGATGTCAACACAGTGTCACGAAGGTGCTACCTAACACCTGCCACACAGACCATAACTCGCAAATACACCGGTAGAAAGGTGATGAAGGGCATAGAGTTTCAAAATCAGTGCATATATTCTCACTTTCTGTCTTTCAATTTCTCTTTTTCTCTTCCACACACTCATGCCTCCCGTCTTCTGCGTTTCTTTACCCACATGCACAAATATACCGAGCCATCTACACTTGAAAGTAAGGTCCCCATTGCATTCCTGATCAGAATGGCCTCAGGCAGAGTTTCCAAAAGCAAGCTGTGTGAATTACAATCAGTGCAAATCAAAGCCTTGTCTCAGCTTCGGTATAGTCACATTCCTGCACCTTGTAAACTCACCTATGGTGTGATCCGCCGAGCCTACAAACACAGACATTGTCAGCTATGCCTGTGTTTTGTTTGCTCTAGTTGTCCTTTGTTTGTCCATGTGGGAATATGCTGACATTTTGGGTTTTAATTACATTCTACTCAGATGATTACTGGGCCTGATAAGTCAGCCTCTGGGCCCAGCCTGTCCTCCTGCCAGCTTATGCACACCAAAAGTTAAACAAACCTTTTGTGTTTGTTAGTGGGGGTTGTGCATTTCATTTTTAATATCATCAGTGACAGTGCTGTTGCAGCCTGTATGCCATCAGTTAAGTAGACAGAAACAAAGTGAGATACAAACATGTAGACACAGGGTTTGCCATGCTGTGAGTATTCAATCTTTCTAAGTGGCATCGGGGCTTGCAACCAGGCTGTTTAATTATTCTAAAATTGAATTTCGGTGGCGTAGGGTGATTCAAACCTGTGTCTTCATTAAAGCCTGTATAGGCTGTGGCTCATTTGTTTTCATGCGGCATACACTGCTTTACCCATGTCTATGCTGCGCTGTGCTTTCAGTGGTTGCATATTTTATGACCTTAAAGAAGAAATGTTTAAAGCTTAAGTTACTGAGGCGTGGTTCCTTCTTTGATCTTTGAATCAATTCCAAGGTGGGAGAAAAGGAATGAGGAGATTATGTTCAAAACTAAAAAATACTGCAATAATCTGTGGAAAAATATATAAATATGATAAATATATAAATGATTTATTGTGCTCATTTTCAAGAAAACAAGCCTGTTCGTATAATGATCTTGCTGATTATTTATTCCACTGCCTATTGCTTTCTCTTTTCAGTGAGTTGCTGCATGACTTTTATTCCTGCATCCCCCCTGAGGTACTCCATGAACAGAAGGTGAACTCACTCCAGAAACAGAAGGTGGCCTCCATGACTGAAATCGTCAGCAGCAAACTCTTCCAGAGACAAGGTGTGTCATTTATTTTGTCTGTCATAGGCCTCAGCATTGAGCTGCTAACCAATAGCCGACTTAACGGCTGTGGGGAGAACCAATCACAGATGTGCCCAGTTCTGAACAAATACCACCGCAGTCTGTGTGAAATCCTACAGAGCATTAGTTGCTTCTCACTTAAAGGTTGAGATCGCATTAAAAGGTCTAATATACAGTGAGTAATTCCCGCCCAGCAACAGGACTGTACAGACAGCTGTACCCACTGTACTTTATGATCAGGAAGGATGTCCTTTACTTAAAAGGCTTTATCTTGATACAGCACAGTGGATAAAAGTGTGGTGCTAATACGGCATGGGTAATGTTCCATTCCCTGTAGGGCAATCCAGTAAAGCACTCTGGGTAAAAGCATCTGCCACATGGTGAAAGGACAAACTGTTGTTTATTCATGTATGCTTTATTTTCTTTCCTGCACCATACACACACATTCAAGTCAATTTCATTAATATAGGAATGACATGGCAACCTATAATCTCCAAGGAAGCAGACGATATGGAGGATGACACTCCCAAATACTTAAATAAGGAACAATGAAGGATTTTTAACATGAATTCAACTAAAGTCTTTTGAATCCTTGATATTTGCTTGATTTACTCTAAGAAAAAAGAAGGGTAAACCTACTTTAACATTAACAGTTGCTTCAGCTTGCATTCACCTTAATACTACATGGATATCTGTGTTTATTTGTCAAAACAGTATTTTTGTCAGTGGCTATTTTTTATTGAGGAAAAAAAAAAAACAGTTTGGATATTCGATGCTGTAACAAACGATTTGAATGCTGCTATGTTTATCTCCACTGTCATTACAATCAGCTCGATGTACCCCGGTCAGATACCATATTATTACAATCAGCATAAGTGGCACCGATTAATGTTCTGGTAAAGGTCAATTCAAGTCAGCAGGCTGGAATAACATGGACCTAACCAGTAAACATTTGTAGTCTGAAGCAGTGTCTGTTGTCTTTTGTCCTTGTGGTGTTGACATTCCCTATCCGCCCAGACTGAAAACATCCATGAACATTATTGCAAGCAGAAAATGAATACATGGTGTACGCCTTATTAGTTGTTGCCAGTGAATATAAATAAAGATGAGTGTTATCCATATTAATGTCAAAGGTAATACCTGCAGTTTGCCAAAGGAGAAGAAGTAATAACACCTAATGTGTGAGGCAGATAAGCAGAAAGTGTTTTCAGAGCGCAGCAGTGTCATAGTCATTAATGTGTCAATGTTCAAACCATGCCTATTGTTTGATTTCCCTAGATTTGGTGTAATTGCCAGAGACACATGTTTTTGTATGTATCGGGCTATTAAAGTACACTACACATTAAGGATCACACACTCTGCACCAAGTTCACCCCCTACTACGGTTCAGCCCTATTATGTCAGTCTAATTGGCTTGTAGTGGGCTGATAAGTGGTAGTTTCCCCTGCAGAGGACCACACAGTGATGAATAGAGTGGGCAAATGTTGTGCTACTGTATAAAACCGAGTCGATAAGGGGGACCATCATCGGGCCTCTGCAGTGGAAGAATTGGAAAAAGGCTGTGAGTGATTGTGGTACACCAAATTTGGTTTCAGACAGAAATGGGTCTGAATGAGATGGGATGCATGCTGGGCTGTTGGGGAGAGATTAAGTTACATCATGGATAGTGCAGGTTGTGTATGAGAATGCATCCATGCGCACATGGGGCAAAGACATTTGCATGTATCTGTTTCAGAGTGACTGATGACACCATGTCTCGGTGTGGGTGTATTTGTGCATTTCAGTATTTGTGCAGCGGTGCATGCTAAATGAGCGTGGGCTCTGCCTTAAACGTTGTTCTTGCTCGGTGTAGCAGTGGGTCCGCTCATCAGTCAGCCGCTGCCAGCCGAGGCAGTGGCCGGTCCACGATACGGTCCTTTGGTATTGATCTTGGCTCCGATGATTGATTCCCAAAGGGCCTCAACGACAGCCTGGGCCCTCTGGCTCGCTGTCAACATTCTCTGAGTCACACTCGGTCATCAGGGAAGGAAGGCGAGAGGGAAGAAAGTAATGAAAGTGACAGGAGAGGGAGTGATGGGAACAACAGGTAGAAAAGAGATAAAGAGGTGTATACGGCATCATGCCAAAATGCTACAAATCAATTTAGGCAAACAAGGTCTCTGAATTATCAGCCAATATGTGAAACCAGATGGCTGACCTAAAACCAGAAACAAGGTATTCAGGAGATAGGAGAGAACCGGTGGTGGTACAGAAAGAAAACAAAATAGCTTGAGAGTAAACAAGTAAGAGTTTGTGAGAGATATACTGATGTTGTTTTGTTATAAAACAGTCCAGAAGTGATTAAAGTTTAAGGCCTGCTCACACGCAATCTATCAGCAAACAAGCTTGCTGTTGGTCCCAGCTCCCTCTCCCCCCCATCCTCCGGCACACTGCTTATTTATTCATTCGTTCTTTTATACATTGGTCTATTCCATCTCGATCCCTGCCTCACCAAATGAGGTCTGACGCTCAGTCTAATTGAGATGCATTTAAGCATTGGGATGCTCATCAGACGGCTTGTATGCAAGGATGCCATTCGTCCAGGAGGCTGAAATATGTAGCACAGCTAGATTATATATGTATCATGGCTAATGGCCCCGGGTGTCCTATCACTGCTCTGCAATACATATTTAATAACCATACCTGTCTGTTTGACTGTCTGTCGGAGAGGACCTGCCAAGCTCCGTCTCCAGGGGAAAATGTCAAGCCTTTGACAGTGTAGGAGATGTTAGATGATTGAAGGGGAGGGTGTGCGACTGTGCGTGGCAAGTGTCGAGAGATCACCTGCTAGCTAATGTTCGAGAGTGAGAATTTAAAAAACAGATAACAATTAAAACCAGTAAAAAATAAAAAAACATCTCAGTAGTAATTTGATTATAAAAGTACCAACTGCAATGCAACCTATCTGTATTTTAATCATACCTTGATATTTAATGTATTTTTTACTCACTATGAAGTGCATAATGAGCAGCACATTCGCATTAGCTCCAGTTATTCCGTCACATACTGTTATTGTTAGATTTTCTTAAGTGCCGTCATTGCAAGAGGGCATCTTCTTACAGCAGAAAACACAACATGTGGTTGTGTAGGGAATTTAATCAGAATGGGGATTGGTTTAAATTATTCCTTTTTTTAAATATTTTGGTAAAAATATGCGGATCCAGAAAGTATGGTAACTACCATGTATTACTTGGTGTTACTCACTAGGAGAGCAGTCTCTATTTTTGCAATGAAGTCCTGTCACACTGTAGTCACATGTGTTCACTTTCTCCAATCATATGGTGTGTGTGTATGTGTGTGTGTGTGTGTGTGTGTGTGTGTGTGTGTGTGTGTGTGTGTGTGTGTGTGTGTGTGTGTGTGTGTGTGTGTGTGTGTGTGTGTGTTTGTGTGTGTGTGTGTGTGTCCAATGTGCAGATTTTGCCTGTTCATGTGCCCCTCATGTCCAATTGCATCCTTTGGCCGTGATTGAAGGGATTCTATTTTTTTCCAATGCTCAAAAATATGCTGGATTAAAGCTATTAAAGCAAATACTGTTTACACACGCACATATGCAGACACAGGCACAGATACACATGTGCATCTTGTGGGGGGTTAATCTGGTTTTGAGACAACATTACATTTACGATGCGCATTATGGCTCATTTTAGGCAAATTATAATGCAATCACTAACAGATTGAGAGCATTAACACTGATAAATGGGGGGGAAAGAATGAGAGCAAAAAGCAGAAGGACAGTGGGAGGAAAATGGCATTTTACTTTCCAAAATCAGGCCAAATCCCTGCTTCCATCTAATAACCCTCTGCATTTTTTCAGCCAGACAGCCATTCCACCTCCTCCATCTGTACAGCTGGAGGGAAGACAGCAGTCATGTCACCTGTCTTGTAGAACAGATGAAACATAAACCACATTTGTTTTGGTGTGATGAATTGTTTGTGCTAAGTGTGTCTGTAACATAACATGATACTAAAACCATAAAACTGAACATCAGAGAAGCTGCATTCTGCCATCTCTACTGTAAACATTTTATTTAAATGCATTATTCACATCAAGCCATATAAACAGCAGCAACCCCATTACTTAAGTGTTAGTGCTTTACTGCCGCACATCATACAATACTGTTGACATTGTTCCCACCCATGTCTATATTTCCCCTGCTGTGATTACTTAACAGATGCATGTCAGGGCTTGATGAATATGGATGACTGATGTGCTGTACAGATATTATCGTCAGGATTTAATCAGTGTTGAGTGATCTTGGTTGTTCCCGCATTCTCTACCAATCAGCATTATTGACAGGTCACTTTAAGCCTGATATATAATGATACTGAGCGGGGTTTTCTACATCTGGCCCGTAAGACAGCTTAAGATATTACCCTGTAACCAAGTGGGATCTGGCTATGAATGTAATGTATTTATGTCGTCTAAAGTAAGATTAGGCTGTGTTGGTATTCTAACATACTTTTAAAAGCAGATGTAAAACGCCAGTGTATTTAATAGTGTGAATACGCTATGTTATATATGTGAGTGTTACACTGAGTGTAAGCAACTATTTGCATGCACCACCAGAGCCTCTTATTGTTAAATATTTCTCCAAGCCTTTCTCAAAGCAGCTGGTTGAGATGTCATTTCAAAGCTGTCAGCTTTACTGCTGCTCAGGGTGTGTGATTGTAACAGGTTGCTTGGTGGTCCAGTAAGCCCCCATGTGCCCATATGCTGTATCCTTAGTTATATGGACATATTAAGAGACAGATATGTGAATCGTAAAACTCATAATAGTCATTGGCTGCTGTGCCCCCCCTCCCCCAGGCTGTTAAAAGTGTTTTTATTTGTTCTCCTCCCTACAGTATCTTTGTTTACTGCATACCTCCTATATTTTCTCAGTTCTCTTCTCCTTTCTCCTCTCTTAGATCCTACTGAGTCTTGCTTTCATATATTATTT